CACTTTAAAAATGGGCCACCCACCATTGATGCATGCCTCATAGGCATGAGGGGGTGTATTGGGAAAAACCCAAGTCCCGCCAATCCTAGATCATTAAAAAGGGCCACCCACCATTTATCCACGTACCAAGCCCAATAGTGCTGGACGTGAGGGGGTGTATTGGGAAAAACTCAAGTCCCACATCGACTAGAGATTAGGCAATTGAATAATATATAAGTGGAAAGCAACCCTTACCTTACAAGCCGGTTTTGTAGGGTTGAGTTAGGCTTCAATCCACTATTCTAACACACAGTGCAGCATTCATATGAGTTGGAGGTACGTAGTTGCTGTATGATGAGGTTTGTTGTTTGCATGGAATCAGTGTAGAAAAGAATGAGCCTAATGCCTTTTTCCCAAGCTATGGATAACCCATGGTATGTAAATGGCCATCAATTCACCATGCACATCTATGAAACCAAAAAGGACCTCATCCCATTAGCTATTTTTCAATAACATTTATCCTTATAGACTTTATTCTTTTTGCATTATGATGGTTTATTAATGACACATTTTTTTTTCCTAAATCAACAACATAAAATTCAAGGCATCATCACAATTTATGCAAGTACCTAGAACAATAACTTAACAATTATTCTAAACCCTAAATCCTAAACCATAACCACATGTCGTATCTTATGCAAACATAGGATTTCTAGATTTCAAAGCTTAAGAGACTTGTGGTACATTACCTTTCAAAATTGTCTTAAACTTGTCAACACATGAACTTGGGGTTTTCTTTTCTTCCACCTCCCTTAAGAAGTTGGTTGATTTTGTTCATGGCTTCATTTGCCCTAACTTCAATGACATCAACCATGATTAATGCCAAGGCTCTAACTTCAGCACTAGGGCACGAGGGTCTGCTTCAAGAAGTTTAGCACAAAGATTAAGGTTCATAGTTTTCTTGCGTGCTGCAAATTAGAGGGATGTGCTTCAAGTTTAGCATCTTGTTACAATAAGATGAATGATAGTAGCCTTGAAAATTGAAGTTGGAGGAGTTTAAATTGAAATCATGTGCAGTTGCGTCTGAACTTTTATTCTTTTAACATTAAATAAAAATTTGTTTGTATTATCTGTCATCGATTACAAGACTTAATTTAGAAAATAAATAATGTTATTATAACTAGATAAGAAATATGCGCAATATATAGATTATTTTGATAATTTGTATAAATAT